GCCATATATGCCCCCCAAGAGTCTCCACAATTCTGCGAATTCTCTCCTCTCTTCTCGCGGCATTGCGCCTCCGCTGCCTTCTCATCATCGCCATTTGCTGTAACGAGTTGGTGCGTGGCTTTGCTGCGCGGGCTGTGAGGGCAGAGCGGCATGCACCCGCAAATAGCAGGGGGCACCAATCCCGCCCGCATTGTAGACATTGCCTGCTGCACGCTGTCTCCATGCTGCGAGGCGCGTAGCTTTGCAGAAATGTGAGGTGACAATGGGATACACCCGCAAATGGCATGGGGGCCTATGCTGTTCGCACCGCAGACATTGCCTGCTGCATGTTGCTCCGACTCAAAAAAAGGTCCGACGTTATAAAACCCACCACGTCGCCAACGTTGCCTAAGAGGGCCTCAGGGCAGCCAGAGATGGGCCCCAGGATGCCTCCAAGAAGGTACTAGGGGGTCTCACGAGGATATCCAGGCGACCAACATCAGTCAAACTATGCGGCAATCTTGTGTATAATCGTTGTGTTATTTCTTTCCGCTCAGGATGAATCCAAGAGGGCCGAGTGGGACTCAGGGGCGCCCGAAAGGACCCCACGGTGGTTCCAAAAGAGCTCCACGACGGACCAGGCTCAAGGGAGCTCTCGCAAAGGCCAAAGGCGGGCCGAGAAAGCTCCAAAACGCCCAAGGATAGTCTCAAAACTGCCCCACGGGGGCTCCTGAAGGACTCTTCCGCGACTCCCATTGAGCTCGTCGTCAAGTCCTTGAAATCACACAACATGTGCAAACGCTGTATTCTTAGCCGCGTGAAGCGACAAGTTCTTATGCCCCAGCGCCTTACCATGCTTCGAATGATAAGAACTTTTGTTGCTGACGCCAATCAGACCAACCAGCCACCCGCGGGGCCACGGAATGTTTGAGGCGAGGGGTGCCCCCAAATGGGCGGAGGGGCGCTATCTGGCACCTTGCCAATGAGGCATTCGGTTGAGCGAAGACTTGTGGCCACCAGAAATACAACGTGCGCGAGGACCTCTACGAGGCTTCTGGCGGTGACCAAGTTCACGGCTCACCACTTGCATCCAATTGCTTCGAATTTGGGGTTTCGGTGCCGGGCCGCGATGATTTTGCGATCGATGCAGATGGGATGGTCGGGCTCTGGATGGCGCGAGCCTTTGGAGGCCGAAAAAGTAAGCTGTTAAATTCGATGTTCCGTGGTCTGTTAGCAAAGTGCCCCCTTCTGAGGCCCCTGTCGTTGCGAAGCTCGTGAGGGATCGTCAGGATACGCTTGCGCGGCTCTTCGGTGGTCTTCCATGAGGCCTTTGCAGCATGGACGTAGCTCCCGGGGGCAAATTGCCAAAGGGGCAGCCATTCGGGGGGGGGCCATTTGACAGTGAGGCTCCACTGGCAAACGTGCGGGCCCAGCCAAGGCGCGGGGGAGGAGGAGGAGGAGGAGGAGGAGGAGGAGGAGGAGGAGGAGGAGGGAGGAGGAGGAGGAGGAGGAGGAGGAGGGAGGAGGAGGAGGAGGGGAGGAGGAGGGAGGAGGAGGAGGAGGAGGAGGAGGGGAGGAGGAGGAGGAGGGGAGGAGGGAGGAGGAGGAGGAGGAGGAGGAGGGGGTGGCCAGCGCATTTGGTAGTGGGGCTCCATTGTCAAATAGTTCCCTACCTAGGCTCTGCCTAGAAGGGTTCTTACTCTCTTAGCTTAAAGGGGCCGGGCAGTGCACCGCCCCGGGCGGTTCCCCCAGTCCCCGCCCCGCGGTTCCCCCCAGTCCCCTGGGAGCTTTAGCTTTAGCTTTAGCTTTAGCTTAGCTAGCTTAGCTTAGCTAGCTTAGCGTTTCGCTTAGCTTTTCGCTTAGCGTTTATCTTAGCTTTAGCTTAGCTTTAGCTTAGCTTGAGCTTAGCTTAGCTTAGCTTTAGCTTAGCTTTAGCTTAGCTTTAGCTTAGCTTTAGCTTAGCTTTAGCTTTAGCTTAGCTTTAGCTTAGCTTTAGCTTAGCTTTAGCTTAGCTTTAGCTTAGCTGTGGCGTAGCTTTAGCTTAGCTTTAGCTTAGCTTTAGCTTAGCGTTACTGTTACTACTAATGCTGCTTTCCTAGGGGTTCCAACTCCTAGGTAGGGTCGCACTGGGATAATTTGCTTGGGGGCCACGTCCGGGCGGCCAAGTTCGTCCGATGACCGATTTGACAGCGGGGGCGCACTGTCACGTGGGCCATCGGGGAGGCAGGCCGAGGCGCGGGAGTTGAGCTCCGGGGGGGGGCGAGTCGCAGGAATCGAGCTCCGATTGCCCGTTTGACCGTGGGGGGCCACATTCAAATGAGCAATCGGGGGGGCGAGGCCAGGCGGGTGAATTGAGCTCCGATCGCCCAATTGGCATAGTGAATCCCGTTGTCAACTGGGTCATCGCGGAAACCGATTGCCCATTTTATAATCGGATCCCCATTGCCAAACAGCCAATCTGAAGGGAAGTGTGGCCGATTGCCCGTTTGACAATGGAAGTCCCATTGGTCAAACGGGGAAAGTTCGCTCAGTACTTTCCACTGCAATTTTGCCCTCCCCCCCCCCCCTCTCCCCACGCCCTGTCCTGGGGAGGATCGTGGGGGCCCGAGTATCTCACACTCCTTGATGACCCCGAGGGGGTCGACGGACCCCGCCACTGCCCCACAAGCCCGTTGCTATTCCTCAGAAGGCCTGGCACCACGCGCTAAGCGTGGCCTGCGCTTGGGGCACTTCTCCTTTGGTCAATTCGGGTGTGTGGATTCGGGCAACGCCTAATGACTACGACTGCGGAAGCGGCCAGAACCTGAGCGCCCGCGTAGCGCGCGTGGTTCTGGTATGTATATATACATATCTATATATACATATATATACACACAAGACTGCATTGGCGCTTCGTGCCATCAAGTTCGGCATGCAGGCAAGATGGCAGAAAGGTCAAGCCGGCAATTTAGCGATAACTCCTTGTTGCCTTTTCTGGCATCGTCGTTATCATAATGTTATTCGTTATCCTTCCTCAATTGCTTATGTTTCTTCATTCTCGCCATACCTTGCGCATTCTCCCCATCCTCCTCAGTTCTTTTTTGCGGAGGCTCCTCCTTGGAGAGCCTCTGGGGGCCTCACAAAATTTCTCATGCTTTCTCAAGGCCTTTGGAGGCCTCCTGGGCGTATTCTGGGGTCCTCTGGGGGCTTCCTCGGGCCACCCTGCCTCCAACCGCGGTCTCCCTGAATGACTGGGTCACGATTTGGAATACTTCAGAGCGTGTCTTCGGGCCATCTTGGGCCGCCATGGGGCACTCTTAGGGCCATCTTGGACCCCTGTGGTGCCGTTTTAGGGCTGTCTTGGACTGCCTGGAAGCTCTTTCGGATAGTTGTGGGGCGATTTTGCAGCCCCCCAGGCGGCTTCGGACGCCCAGAAGACCGCTGTCTTGGAACGTCAGGAAGCCGAAAAGAGGACAACCCCCAAATTCACCAAAAACCAATGGAAAATCACAGATTTTTGGCTCTTGGGTCCTTCTTGGGAGTGCTCTTGGAGGCCTTTTGGGACGTTTCGGAGCGATTTTTGGGGGCGTCGTGGACCGTATTGGGGCTCTCTGGGCTCGTTTCGGGAGCGCGCCGGAATGCCTGGAACCCTTTTGGGGCCGTCTTCGGGTGCTGGGAAAGCTTGGCGAAACGCCCTGCGAGGCCCGGAAGGCAGCTTCGAGGCCCGTCTGGAGGGTCCCAAAGCCCCAGATCCTGGGAATCCCGTTTTTTTTCTGGTGGGGTGACGTTTTTTTTCCCCCGCCCAGGCTTATAACAATATACGAAGAGGAGTGTGTATATACATATATGTATATGTATATGTATATGTATATACATATATATATATGTATGTATATGTATATGTATAGATATATGCATATGTATGTGTATATATATATACAGATATGCGAATCTGCGATTCCAGCAACAGACAACACATAGCAAACGCGTATCTGAACGGGGCATAACAAGAACATCTGATGAACTGGGTCGCCGCACTTTCTGCATGTCGCTTGGAACCCGTATACTTTGCGATTGCGACGGGGTTGCACAGAACTCTAGAAGTCATGTTCTTCCTGTCGCGATCGTTGGGTCTATGTGCGGTGCCCTAACCGCCCCCACCTCTGGATCAGAGGGCGCTTGGACCACTTGGTGCTGGACGGGCAAATCTGCCGCCCCCACCGCCGCCAAATACAGGAATAGCCCGACCGGCGATCGGGCAACCCAGCATCGAACACATCGCCCTTTGCACCGAGATCGGCGTGCGCGCTTAAGCCGGGCCCCAAGTGTGCCAAAGAGGACCGTGCCGAGGCACCTCGACGTACGGCCTGCGCTCGGCATCGAGGCTGCGGAGCCAAAGCTGCACGCGCCCAGACCGCCCAGCTCCTCCTCCCCCTCCTTGTCCTCCTTGCCCTCCTCCTCCTCCTCCTCCTCATCCTCCTTCTCTTCCTCCTCCTCCTCCTCCTCCTCTTCCTCCTCCTCCTCCGCGCACGCTCCTTCGCGCACGCTACTGCGCACAGGCGCCCGCGGCGCACTGCCGACCCGGCGAGCCCAGGCGCTGCGCCCGGCGCAGCCGTCCGCACTGCTCCGGAGGAGCCCGTCCGCCTGGACAGAAGCACATTTGCGGCTGCGTCGCGCGAGGGGAAGGCGCCGCGCGGGTGCCTCAAAACTTGCCCGGAATATCTAGCTGCCTTCGGCTCATCCCGAATCGTGCCTGGGTTCCGGGCATGGAACTCAATCGAGGTTCGTGGGGATCTCGTTAGGGGCCTCTCGGGAGCCACTTGGTGGCAGTTCTGGGTACTCTTCGAGGCCGTTTGGGGATCTGTTTTGGGGCTCTTGGGGCCTCTTGGGGCCTCTTGGGGCCTCTCGGGGCTTCCTGGGTTCCTCTGGCGGGGGCGAAAGGCTTGGATGTTCTGTTTGTGTTGGCTCTTTTGGGCTCCGTTTGGGGCCCTTTTGGTCCGTCTTGGGCGCCTCTTGGACCTCCTTTTTTGTTTTCTTTTGTTTTGTTTTACTACGCGCGTGCGCATGTAAGCGTAGAAGCACACTGCAGAATCACAATTCAAGCACGCGCCATATGCGTACATCTCCAGACGTGCTTGCACTACCGCACGCACTTGCCAGAGCAAAAACAATATTCACCCCGCGAGCAAACCAAAATAATCTAGTGATTCAGAGGCTGCGACACCAATCCGATGAGCACGAATGGGGCCCACTGTATTGGAGTCCATTTTGCCGCCCCGTCCTCAGAGTCACGTATCATTGTGCACATAGCCATCTGTGCAGCAACATGCTCAGGTTACTGAAGGCTGAGCAAATTGTGGTAGAACTGTTTCATAAACGCACATGTCGATTCATCAGGGACGCGCCACAACGTCCCAAGGACCAAATCAGATCCTGCAACAAGAAACGGCCGTGTCAAACCCACAACCCCGTCAGAACCAATCTGCCCACGGCTTGTGTTACATGCTGACAGAACGACTAGCCGGGCAGAAACGGTTCGGTCATACAACTGCGATGCTTCTAAAATTTCGGACTCGGGATCACCATGGAAAACTAAAGCAACTTGATCCAGCAACCCGTGTGTGCATACATGGACTAAGCGTGTCGCTTGAGGCAACAAAGACATAACACGATTAACGGTCGCATCTCTGTTTCGGAGCATCTGAACTTGAATTCCTGCTGAGGCGCAGGCATCGCCAACCGCCAAACACTCATCTGGAACAGCACCAAGAGTTTCAAGCTTCAAGTGTGGGTGACCATTGAATGAGGACACGCCGACAACCAGGGCAGTCTCTGTCCCCTCGGATTCTCCAGGCCGTTTTGCGAGGATCCTTCGGGTGGCCAGACACTTGAGTACCTGCAGAGATGGAGCCACCCGAATTGAAAACTTCTCTATAAGAAACGTGCCGTTGGAATCCTGCAGTGCTGGAAACGGTACCATCCACAAGTGCTGATCAAGCACCAATATAAGGTGCTGCTCACCCTGGAGAAGATTTTCAACGGGCTGAAACAAAGCACGATAACAAGACCTGAGGCGCTCTTGGTTGCGCTTGCGACGAAGGTAACTTAGCTGCCATCCACGATAAGCTTCAGAATCACCCACACCACTCTGATGCACTTCGTGCCATGTTGATGAGGGGCGCTCGTCGATAGGGAACTCCCCCCGGCCACATACACCAGACTCACCACGAACAGTGGCAGCCATCGAGGCTAGCGTCAAATCATCTTCACCCAACTCCTTCGCAACATTTGTACGCACAACTCCAACAAATGAGCCCTGGCTGCTGATGACCCATGTGCAAATTTCCTGATCACCAAGAACTGAGAAGTAGACAATTGCAGCAGCATGTGCAATTGCCTCACCACGCATCTCATCAAAAGAGAATGCTGTTGTGCACCCTCCTGTCCGGCCAAAGCCCATCAACGCTAACAATGATCGAGCCCTGCGAGATTCAGCGATGGACAGAGCCTCCTCCGCCTCTCCTGAGCGAAGCAGACATTTCTGGAGACTCACGCCAATGCTGACCGCCAAAGGGTCGTCACGGAACGACAAGCTTGTGGAATCTTCAAGCAGATGCATCAACCGCTTCCACGATGATGCATCGGCTTGCTTTAGGAACGAAATTGCATGACCCAGCTCGTCCAATCGTTCATAGACTAATCCAATCATACGAAGGACATCTTCATGCTGCGACTTGGTGTACATAACTTGTCCACCTGAGCAGCGCGCTTGCTGCAAAGATTCGTCAACTTCCAATAGAATTCCCAAGCCCTTTCGCAGGTCAATCGGCTCATAAGCGAAATCAGCACTTACATCCACCAAAGGGAGTCCGCACAAACATCTGCCGACTTGGGTGAGGGTCACTAAGCGGGCAGAGCGAAGCCAATCGACATCAATGCACGATTCCACTTCTGTGTAAGCCATTTCCAGATGCACGAAGCCCTGCTTGCTGTTCCCCAGGGCGCACTCAACGGCGCCGCATCTTGCCATGCTCTGCAGTCTGACCGCGGCGCACTGCCTTGCCTCTCGCTCTGTTAACCCAGGCCGATCCTTGAGTGAAGCAGCAACTGCAATAGCATCCGAAAAGCTCACACTCGCCAGCTCCAAACGCCCAAGTTTAGTCAGGGCAAAGCCTTGATTATGCAGTATCGTACAATGTTCCACGATATCACCCAACTCTTCTGCCAAGATTTTCGCTTCATCGTAGCAGGCCAAAGCGTCGTGAATGCAATTCAGGTTCACGTATAAAACGCCCAAGCCTCGCAATGCTTGAACTTGGGCTGCTGTGTCGCGCAAGTCACGGGCAAGCTGCACAGTTGCAAGCCAAACGTCCTTGGCCTCCTGGAGATTACCCTGAAACATCTTCGACCGACAATCGGCTAATGCATCTGCGCATTGCGCTGTTACAGACAAGACCATCGGCTTCGGGACGAATCAAGGTTGTGACATTCTGCATGTATACGGTATTCACCCTAGCTTGAGCTAAATGGCTACGGGGCGCCTCTTGGGCCTTCTTGGGGCCCCTCTTGGAGGCCTCTTGGGCTGTCTTAGGTCTCAGGGTGGTCTTGGGGGCCTTGGACCGTCTTGGATCGTCGGCTAGCAGAAAAAGCGAGAACGCCAAAATCCTTCTTGCATCTTGGGGCCCTCTTGGGAGGCCACTTGGAGGCGTCCTGGAGAGTCTTGGAAGCCTCTTGACCCGTCTTGAGGCCATCATGGCCGTCTTGGCACGTCCTTTCGGCGACTCGCGCCCCTTTTGAACCGTCTGCGGGGCCTCTTGGCCCGTCTTGGCTCCGCCCCAAGACGGCCTCCAACGCCGCCAGGAGGTCCCCAAGATGCCCCCCAAGAGGCCGAGCGATTGAACGTTCGAGAGACCCCTGGCCCAGAGCCCAAGCGCGGCGGTTGCCGGAGCCATGGGCCACCAAGCTCTTACATCTGGTGTGGTAAGGGGATGCAAAACAAATATCCTTCGTTTTGGATCCCGTGCTCGCCCCCCCTTCCCCCCCAAGTCAAAGGTGGCGTCTGGCCTGCTGGAGGCCCGAGGGGGGGTCACTTTTTTGTCCTTTCGAGCTTGTGCTCCCGCGTGCCCACGGTCAGCTTTGAGTAGGAGGGGGCGGAAGGGGGGGCGGAGCCAGGGGTTCCACTTTTTGATCATCTACGGGACCCACATGTGTCTCATCGTTTACTACATGTGCTTACCACATTCCAGGATCATGTATGGGACCACACTCGTTTTTGACAATTCATGTGGATGTAGATCGCTTCTACTCGCCACGACGGAGCGCCATCAGTCGCCATAGCGAGCCTGAACCACAACTGGCGGAACCACCGTTCTTCGGGCGTCGTGGCATCGGGCTGACACATACTTGTACAATGGAGACTGGCATGTTTCAACTCTTCCGAATCAGCTTGGGCCATCACGGCTTTGATCCCTCTGCAATTTGTTGCTTTGTTGAGCTAGACTTCGGAGATGACCTCGCCGAATTCTGGTATCGTGACATGCTGGCCCGCGGTCTGGACGTCTCGGCGGCGTTGGAGACGGATCCGCGGAGTGGCACAGCTTTTCGTATAATACCTCTCTGAAATGTGTGCTCCTGCAAGCTGGAATCAGCCATGTGCGTGATGAGTGTCTTCTGTCTTCTTCCTTCGGTCTTCCTCGTATGTACTGCCTTGTGGATCCTATGCTGGTGCCGTCGGTATCTTGCGTCCGCCATCGCTGTCGGATGAACAACTTCAAGTCTGCGCGTGTGCCGCAAGGCCAGATCTGCCCATAGTGTGGATGGTCGGTCATGGCGCGATTCTGCATCACATTCTCCCCACTGGCGCCTGCAACTGCGTCGAATGTTGCATCGCCTTCGTGTTCACTGTGATTGCCCGGAGACTCCAGGAACACATGTGCTTAACTTTGTTCTGCGTGGAAGGAACGAGGTGCGTGGGTGGAGGGAAAGAACAAAGGACAAGAGGGACAGCGATGATATATAGAAGAGGAGAAAGGGAATGGGGGAAGGGGAGCGGAGGATGAGAAGGTGGACGAAGAGGACAATTCATCAAATATCAGGCCGAGGCGCAACATCCGATTCGGATGAGGGCTAGCAAGCAAGGGAAAAAAGGGGAGGGCACGGGATTCCCGCCGTCACGGCCCCGCACCCCCCCGCACAGGCCGAGGGCCCCTAGGGCACCAACCAAGGTGGCAGGCAACGCGACGGCACCAGCCGCAGCCTACAACCATGGGCGGCGCACCTAGCGGACCTCGCGGCTTGCGAGATCAGCCTCGATGCGCCGAGACTGCACCGAGACCTTCTCGGCAAGCCCACGACAGTCCGCAACGAGGCCCCTCCAAACAGGGGCCTCGATGGAAGCGCGGGCGCCGCAGCGGCGGCGCAGCAAGAATTTGACGGTGGCCTGAACCAGGTGGCCAGGATACGCGAAAAGGACCCCATCGCCTGCACATGCAGGGCGTCGCACGTGAGACCCAACTCGCGACAGGCGCGTAAGATTGCATCACTGCGTGCCCTCGGGAGGATACCATTCCGACGCTCTGCTCTTATCGCGGCAGAAAAAAACGGCGCCGGCTAACACTTGTTACCAGGCTGCCCAAGCTTCGCTCTCGAGAGCGGGGTGTTGCCCGGGCAATGGCGCCACGTGCATCTCACCCCCCCGCCCTCCACCGCCTCCGGATGGTGCGACAAGGAGAGAAAGCTGAGGCCGCGCCGTGGGGGTTCGGTTGGGCCTGTCAGACATGGAAGTGGGCTCGGCCTGCGACGCAAGGCGCTGCGCAACCTGACCCGGAAATCTGCATGTTTCTTTTCACATCACTAAGGTGCGCTTTGAGCGAAGTCGTGGCAAGGCTGGGAACAGCGTGCTGCCTCGCCCCAAGCTTCGCGAACAAATCAGCCCACATGTTGCCCAGATAGTCGAAGATCGCGGCGCGCCCAGTTCGATCCTGGCTCGAAGAAGACTCACCGAACAAGAGGGAGTCGAGGTCTCCGTGAGCAGGGGTCCAGCGGACGCGGGGCCTCTCGCTGGGCGGAGTTCCTGCTGGGCACACCTGACAACAACATCTCGCAACATGCACGCACGCATGCTAGTGGCTGCCTGTGGCCAAATCACCCGGCCAACTGGATGTCTCATGCACCGCGGAGATGTGGTCTCTGACTACATCCGCTGTACTCGGGCCCAGACGGACCGCCTGCAACAGCGGATATCTTTCGGCCCGAGGGGCCGTTTGGATGGCCCCAGGGAGGGGTCCGAAACAAGCCCGCGCGGGCCAGCCCCCAGGACTAACCTCGACGACGGCCCGCCCGCGGCGACATGTTTCGGGTAGACCGTTTGAAAGACCAGATCCGTTAATAAAAACGGAAATCCCCCCCGGCAAGTTCGAAGCCCCCCAAAACTGGGGGGGGGGGGTATCTGGCTGGGACAGGGTCGATGCAGAAGGTGGGGGGAGGAACGCCGTGCGCCAACTCCAACGTGTCGAAGTCGGCGGGGGGGGGGAAGGGGGTGCCTTTGGCTTTGCCTCTCTGCCATTTAACAAGCTCCAGCACGTCGTCTGAAAAGAAAAAAAAAACGCCTCGGCTGGGTCATCACTTGGCTGCCAAACTGTTTTGCACTCGTACAGTTGGTGACCGAGCGTGCCTGTCGCATCGCATCCAAACTCACGCGTGAGACTGGCTGCAAGGCCATGCTGATGCTTTTTGGCTGGCGGCCAGAACTTCCCGCTGATGAGGCCCCATGAGGCCGCTTGCCTGGATGGGGCCCTTTAACGGACAAGCTCCCTATTCGGAGCGCGCGCCCCAGACAAGTTCGTCGCCCAAGGCCTCGGGATTCGCCCCCAGGATCTGGCGAACCTGAACCCGACTGATGCCATCGCGCAACCGCTGCTTGACATCCCAGGGGCATAAGGTGGAAAGAGAAATGACTTCCCCCTGGTCAGTCTGCAGCTCATGGTGGGATATCAAGTCCCAACCTACACGACGCAACGCAAAGATGACCGCCCCCTATCGGTCCCTGCACTCGATTCCAGCGGGGGCGACCCTGCAAACGAGGGCGCGCGGTCGGACGCGCCGCTCTCAAGTCTGCATCGGACGATTCCCGATCCTAGACCCATCAACAATATCTGTGCACAAGTGGGATAGTGACATCGACAATGGGGTCATAGCTGGGATCGTAGCTGGGATCCTTGTGGGTACGCAAGAAACCCGTCACGTGAGACGTACCCCCCCGCCACCCATAGGGCTCTCAGCAAGGGCCCGTAAGGTTCTGCGCGTATCATTAGTGACTCCAGACAGCGAGGCGCCATGGCGCACGCTGGGCATCGGGCCAGCGCGCCGCCACCCAGCCACTTTGATGCCCACGGATTTCTTCAACACCTGGATGCGCGTCTTGCGCTTGACCAGTGCCGCTCGCCTTTTGGCTTCCACCCTGCGGGGGGGGCGCCTGCCGAACGCGTCGTGGCCTCGGTCGCGCATGTGGCCAACGCCTCGCGTTCCCATCGGCTTGGCCAACATTGCCAAATGCTTGGAAGCGGCCAAGCTGGTGGCGACAAAAACCCGACTTATTAGGTTGCGACAGAACGCCTGTCGGGCGCGCGAGGCGACATAACCCCCGAGCCGCCGCCAGGGCCACTCCGCCCCTCTGCGGGTCGGGGCCCGACCAGCGCAGCGACGCATCACCCGTTAAAGTTCTCGCTGGGGCAGGAAACCACTCAATCGCAAACCTGACGGGCTGCGACAGAGCGGCTATCGTGGTCGATGTGGCCGCGGAGCAACCGGCCAAGATCCCCCGGGAGGAAACGAATGGCCCGGACAAGGCCCCGAACGCGTCGATCCTCCCTGGGGCAGGATGAATCTGGATCAACAACCACCCAAGATGAAGCCGGAAACCAACCTGCCCAGCTAGATCACATCGTGGCATATAACCATACCGAGCAGAAGAGCGACCGAGTGCCAGCCTCTAGCTCTAGCGACTTCGGCCGACAGGTTTTAATCGAAAGCTGAATCAGAAAAAGCCCCTTCCATTCCCAGCCCCCCAGACCAGAACTCCCGGGCACGCCGCCCCGCCTCCCAATCGCCAGCGGCGACGCGGCGAAAGCGGCCCCGCGCGCGTAGGATGGTCTAGACTTGCTAACAAACGGTGGTCGCCATCTGGTTTTGGCAACCTCGCCAGCCTGCTGACTAGACGCATGCTTGGCCAAACGCGTGCCTCCTCGCCTTGCGAGTGCAACGACGCACGCACAGCTAGCACATCATCAGAAAAGGTACTGGAAGAACGAAGATGGATCTCACAGCAGCCCGCCGCCGTCTTCGGGGGAATTCTCGAGATCGCTCTCCTCAAATCGTTGACCCCGGACGGCGGCGAGCTCGCCCAATCCTGCGACTCGCTCGGCAACGGCGCGTCGTCGCAAGGGTAGGTGGTCCAAATGTGGGCCCGCTCCCTGCGCGCGTCGTCGGCCACCTCGAACGGTTGGATCCGATGCTCCTCCGCGAGCACTTCCTGGATCCCTCGAGCGCTGGTAAACCTATGGGCAGCTTTGGCCCCGTCCAGAGAAGCGCGCCTGACCCAGGATTTCCGAACCTCTTCTTTGCTAGCCAAAAAGGCGGCCTCCTTGTCCCGAGCCAGCGCTCAATCGCATCGGGCGTCGATGGATCACCTATCACATCCACCCCAGACATGAACAACAACCTGGTCGCGAGCTCGTCGAGGTGCTCGATCTCCCATTCGGGCTCCCTGATCCTGCCGAGTAAGGCCTCGGTGTCGATCAGGATCTTGGCGACCCGCTGCGTTCGCCTCGGCTGCTCGTCGACGTCCGCGTCCAAGTTGGCAATGCAAGACTCCAAAACGATGTGCACACTTCGCAGTTGTCTGGCCCACCTGGCCGCATCCCTCCACGCAGCATGCTCGCAAGAGGGCCGAGGCTGTCGATGTCGGGGTACTGCTCTGAGCTTCTCCCAGCGAAAATTGCGCTCGCCTGCTCGGCCTTCGCGGCCGCGACGAAGAGGTCCGACAATGTCGCGTCGATCAAGCAACTCGGCCTCGATGCCCTGGGTCGTCGCGTCCCAGGGCGTGCGTGCGATCTGCTGAGGTGGCATGCCGGATGTCACCGTGAAGCCTGGCCCAGGCTCCGGGGTGCCGCCCCCGCCCCTGCGCTGCAAGACTTGGGGGGGGGAGACTTTGGTTGATCCGCAGCGCGGCGCCGCAAAACCGCATCCTCAGCATGACCTGCATCAGCGCTGGCTCATACGGCGAGATCATAGCAGTGTCCACAACCTCTATCACGCCCGATCGAATCGCAAACCTCCCAGACGCGACGAAATAATCAATCGCGGTGCCAGACGCACTCTGCACGCGTGTGGGCGCTGAGGGCGCCGCCAGCACACCTCCGATAGAAGTTGCCCGCAGGTGCATCAGAGCATGGTCCACGATGCAACCTGCCGCAGCAAGTCACTCGTGTCCGAGAGCACGCGCGCGTGGCAAATATTGGGCCAACGTCAACCGTGGCATGTGTTTATGCCCCGTGCTTTCACTAGCGCGCAGGTGCGCCAGCACTGCCACGAAGCCGCCCTTGAACCATGCGTGAACCAACGCCGATGCGATCCTCTCTTCCAACAGTACGCCTTTTGTGTCGGCAAGCGAAGGGCCCGCTGTGACCTGCACGCGCTTGGGCGCTGTCGCAGCTGCACCTCCACTTGTGCCTTGCCCGTTGCCAGTCTCCTTGGCAAGGGCCCACGCTCCATGTTAGCCTACCGCGTTCATGCTTCCCTGCAGCGATCCCAGCTTTGCCGATGTGACATGATGATCCTATGCGCACATGATCGACTGCTCATCTCCCAGCGCAGAAACGTCAGCATCGAACGTCTCAGCAACAGGGTTGCAAGAAGTTGTGTTAACTGTAGCAGTGCGCGCCATGACGACTATCTGATAGAACAAGTAACCCATCATACCAAACATCTCGAACAAGAGCTCAGGCCGCCTTGTGACGCTTCGCGAACGACACCAAAAGGGCTGCAGTCCGCCTGGCTGCTTCTCGCAAATCATCTTCATCCTCTGGGGCCCGCTGCTCCACTGAGCGGATGAGCTCGCGCAACACCTCGGGGGAGTCGCCCCCTGACGACGGGGTAGTCTGCTCCCAGTACTGCCAGTGCTGGGCCCCCTTCGCCGACTCGTCCCTCTCATCAGCTGCAGCTTGTGCAGCCTGGGCGGCCTCCTGCTGCTGCTGCTGCTACTGCTGCTTCTGCTGCCGCGCCTCCTCGGCAGCGCGGCGCTGCTGGGCACTGTGGAGCTCCTCCTGCGCCTTCGCCTCAGCCATGCACCCGTGCAGCTCCTGAGCCTGTCCTGGACTGTCTCCGAAGCCCTGCAGCACCTCCCCGCGCTTCTCGACAGCGAGGTCGCTGGCGATGAGCTGCTCGAGCCCTTCAGCACCGTCATCGAAGGATTTTTCTGGAGCCCTTGGCGCGCCAGCCAACAGCTGACACCTCTCGGCTTCCAACTCGGTGATCTCGTTGACTGTGACCTGAAGCGCCTTGGCTGCATCGTCCACCGCCTTCTGCGCCTCGGCCACCACCTGCTTGAGCTCCTCGGCCACCTCGGTCTGGCGCCCTCGCTTCTTAACCAACTAAGGATGCCGAGAAGACATCTCTTTGAGCCGCGTGTCCAGAGATTTGCCACGAATGATCTGGCTTCTGAGCGTGGTCTGACGTGCTCGCACTTTCTCCCGCAACTCATTGAAGTCAGAACCTTCCAAATCAACAACCTTCTGTAGTTTCTCGGTGGCGGCCCCAAGCTGCTTCCGTATATCGGCATCCGACTCGCCCTTGCCCGCGTCGACGTCCATGGTGTCGCTTTCAAGCTTGGGAGACATGTCCTTCTTCCGTAGCTCCGCCACCTCATCTAGTAACCGCCTGAGCTCTGCCGTGAGCTTGGGATCAGGCCTCGCGGCGGCCTTCGGGGCCGATGCCGAGGGGGCGACAGGCTGCTTGATCCCTGTAAATGCCGACGCCTTGACGTGCTGGCAGAGAGAACAGCGGTCGAGGCCAGCCCTGTTCCACCACCGATCGCCAATCTGGTGCGACCAGCAATGCTTGCGATACCATGGGCTCGCCCACGCCTGCCTTCTCTGCTTGTGCCCAGGCGGCGGCGCCCCGCCCTGGGGGAGGGAGGAGGAGGAGGAGGAGGAGGAGGAGGAGGAGGAGGAGGAGGAGGAGAAGGAGGAGGAGGAGGAGGAGGAGGAGGAGGAGGAGGAGGAGGAGGAGGAGGAGGAGAAGGAATCGTGCTGTGCGCCAGGCGGGGACCCCACGTGCAGAACACAGGAAGAGGAAGCGCCTCCGGGCCAGGGCGGGCCACTGGGGAGACGCAAGAGCGGGCGGGGGCCGCAGAATCCCCCACGCAACAATGTCAAATCCTGGGCCGAAGCACGACGGACTTGAGCCAACATGGATACGGACGGACGAAGAGGACAAGGAGGAGGGGAACGGAAGGGAGGCAGGAGTACGGGAGATGTAATAACAAGTGCGGCGAAGACGGGTGATCCAGTAGAGTAGGAAGTAGGGGGACGATAGCGATGATGCGAACAAGAGGCCGCAGAGGAGGAGAACAAAAAGAGGGGATGGGGGAGGGACGGCCAGGAGAGAATGTTTGTGTGATGATCGGACGGGACGCCTGTCTCGTCGTGTCCCCCGCGATCGTCGTCGTCGTCGTCGCTGTCGCCGCCGTCGTCGTTGTCGTCGTCGTCGCTGTCGTCGTCGTCGTCGTCGTCGTCGTCGTCGTCGTCGTCGTCAGGGTCGGCGGCACCAGCCGTAAGGCCTTCACAATGTGATGATCAGAAGGGACGCCTGTCTCGCCTTGTCCCCCGCGAAGCGGTGTGTAGGAGTGCCATGCGAAGACCACTTCACCGTGGGACACTAGGCTAGCTATTTCGAGCATCAGTGGCGTGTCTACGATAGGCGATCCCGATGGAAGATCCCTCGCCCGACGGAGGACACGAGCGTCACTTTTGAGAATGCGTCGTCGGATCGACCGACCTGTGAAAAGCCGCGAGAATACAAACGGAAACCACGTGCCTTTGAATGTAGCGCTCGGCACGCACGAGCTACGACCAACACGACTGAAAAGGGGGTCCCGAGGAACATGGGTCCTCGAGCGCGAGGCTCTCCCCAGGAGGAGGAGGAGGAGGAGGAGGAGGAGGAGGAGGAGGAGGAGGAGGAGGGAGGAGGCGGAGGAGGAGGGAGGAGAGGAGGAGGAGGGAGGAGGAGGAGGAGGAGGGAGGAGGAGGGGAGGAGGAGGAAGGAGGAGGGGGGATGGAGAGGAGGAGGAGGAGAGGAGGAGGAGGCGGAGGAGGAGGAGGAGGAGAGGGGGAATAGGAGAGAGGAGGAGTGGGAGGAGGAGGAGGAGGAGGGGGAGGAGGGAGGGGGAGGGGGAGAGGAGGAGGAGGAGGAGGAGAGGAGAGGAGGAGGAGGAGGAGGAGGAGGGGGAGGGGGAGGAGAGGAGGAGGAGGGGGAGGAGGAGGAGGAGGAGAAGGAGGAGGAGGAGGAGGAGGAGGAGGAGGAGGAGGAGGAGGAGGAGGAGGAGGAGGAGGAGGAGCCACGCACTCCCCCCGAGCCGCCTGCTGACGGTGCCGGGACGCCCGGCAGGGGGCCCCGGGGAGGCCGAGCACTGCGGCCACTTTCAAGACACTTCTCTTCCTCGTCCTCTTCCTCCTCCTCCTCCTCCTCCTCCTCCCTCTCCTCCCTCTCCTCCCTCTCCTCCCTCTCCTCCTCCTCCTCCTCCTCCTCCTCCTCCTCATCCTTCTCCCTCCGGACGTCGTCCCTTCGTGGCGGCAAGGACTCGTTTCCGCCTCCTCTTCCGGCGCCGCCGCCGCTCACCTCTCCGGCCTCGCCTGGGACTGCGGCCCGGAGCGCGCACCATCAGGGGATGAGCTGGATCTTCGCGATGTCTGGGCCTCCACGCCCGGGGTGGGAGGCGATGCGCAGGAATTCCGCCCGCCAAGGGACAAGAGAAAACACCGGGGGATGCAGGGAAGCTTGACCTCCTGCTCCAGGTCCTGCTGCACCTCCTCACCCATCTTTGCCTCCTACTACTACTCCCCCCCTGTCTTCCAGCCTCACTCTTCCTTCTCCCTCCCCCTCCTCACGCTCTTCTTCCGCCCCCCTTCCTCTTTCTCCTGCTCCTCCTCCTCCTCCTCCCTCCTCCTCCTCCTCCTCCTCCTTTCCCATTTCCTCCTCCTTCTCCTTTTCCTTTCCTCCTCGTCCTCCTCTGTCTCCTCCCCTCCCCTCCTCCGCCCACCTTCGTCTCCCTTCCACCTCTGTCTCTCCGTGCCTCCCTCCTTGTTCCGTCCCTCCATCCCTCTCCCAGCTCCTGTCCCTCCTGGCGCCTCTTTTGTAATTCGTGGAGGCGAGTCGCCATGCCGCTGCCCGTCCCGGACGACTCGGTCAATGTTGCCTTGCTTGATGATGCCGCGGTGGTGATTGCAGTTGTGGTGGTGGGAGCCGTCGGACTGATGCGGTAGATGGGCCGCGCTGGCCCGTGACACATCTCTGAGCTGCCGCGTTGGCGATGTCGGGATGTCTGCTGCCACACCCTGTCAAGCACCTCGCCCCAGGCCTATTCATCCACACTGTGCTCGTGAGCTCGTACGAGCTGTGTGGCCACGTCGGACGGGCGGCCCAAAAATTCGAAAACCAAGAGAATACCGTCAATCCCGTTGGGGGGCGAATGCCGGGCCCAATTCTCCTAGACCGTGGCTCCTGCAGCCACGCCGTCGTTGTTGTACCGGGTGCCTGCGACGGGAGTGTTCTTAGAATCCACACACACACATATATATATATATATTTACACATATGTATATGTATGTATATATATATATATATATATATATATATATATACATACATACATATTGCTCGAGTCAAAATCAGGGGGGGCGGCCCGTGGCCATCCTGTGGGTGATGACGCCCAACTGGGCAGCCTGCACCGCGTCTGTGCGCCAGTTGCTGCTCGGCAGCAGAGGCGAAACCAGTGAGGGTGGTGTGCGGCTGCGCGTGCTCCGCATGCGGTCCTGGCGGGCGGTTGGGGACTGTCCAGCTCCGCAGTGCCTCGCTTGCCACCCGTGCGCGCTGGGTCGGGCGCCGTAGACGGCACCCCTCGTCGAGGCGGTGCTGGCACGCAACGCCTCGCGGGCAGACATCACACTAGAGGCGGAGCCTCAAAGCGGTGCGGAAGCGTCGGTCTCGCATGGCGGGGTCGCCTCTGTCGCAAGGGAGGACGAAGCCGCCGGCGCTTCCCCCCACCTGCCCTGCCGCTTGGGGGCGGCTTCTTGGAAACAGCCCACCAACCTGATTCGCCGCTCGTTGCGCTCCTTCCCGCCCCTCCCTTCTTCCCCCCCTCCCTCCCCCGTCCCTCTCCGCCCTCCAGGAGGCACAACGAATGCGTGGGGGTCGAGACAACAAAAACCCAAACGAGAAGAAACATGGCGAGAGCCAACTGTGCCGTGCCCCTTGCGGGGCGGGGCGAGCGGTGGCCCCTTTTCGCCTATCGCCTCTCATCACCCCGCCTGCTCACCTCTTTGCTTTTTGGTTGGCGCCACGCTGCTCGCAGGCGCCTGGTGAGCAACGCGGCTCAATGCGCTGCTCCCCCATTCGATGATCCTCAAAACGTGCGTTAGCCCTAACGTGCGTTTGTCCATCGGGGCCCTTCGACACGACCGAGGCGATGTAATGATCTACTGATTGGGCTGAAGAGGGAACACACTTTTTGATCTGCGGGGCGAGAGCGAACCTCTTCCGCTAAAAGCTAAGCGGGACGCGCACAGCTTTAAGTAGCAGAGAAAGGGCGAAGGAAGGTGGGGCCTCACGGCGGCCGGGAGAGGGCGAAGCCCTGGGGAGGGGGAGCACACACGCACATTGGGCTAACACGCGTCCTGAGGATCATCGACCCCTCCCCTGGATGCCCGCTCGCACCCAAGCCTCCGGACCTCCGTCCCGGCAAATATGTCGGGCCGTGCCCCGCCGCTGCGGCGAGGACTGGCCCCGAAGCCCCAAGCGTAAAGAAAACGGGTGTGGCGAGCGAACACAGATTAAGACCCAATCCTCCCCCCTTTCCCTCTTCCCGCTGCCCCCCCCCTTTCTTTCTGCTTTTCGACTCGTGCAAATGTTGAGCTCGCACCCGCGTTGCCCGCCGCCGCTGATCAGTCCACGATGAAAAACTGCAACAGAGATTTGAATCTAGATAGACCCCATTCCAATGCCAGCAGTTCCACAGCAAAAAACCAAAATATACCTTCCAAAGGCTTGCCCGCGATGGTCAACAATCTCCGTGCTCCGCCGCTGTAAGAGAGAATCGCTATCCCCATCGCTGCCGCCGATATGTCCCGAACTGCGCCGTCAAAGTAATGCGGAACAACATGTCAGAACACTTCGCCGCCTCGATTGCCGGAGAGCCTCGGTGAACCCACGCAGCCTTGCGATCCAACGCCTCGTTTGCAGCGTAATCCGCGCACGTGTTGAACGACCTGCGACCCCGCTCAATGAAATCGCCGCGTCCAATCTAGGCCTGAAGCCTCTTCCAGCATGCACTCGAACATGCGAGCCACCGTGACGCACGGAGGTCGTAAACTATTGCAAGTTAACTTTGGCCGGCCACCGAATGTCCTCCAAGCTTTGGCCGTCCGTTTAAATCCACACTCTCCTACCGCCTTCGCCCAGGACAATTCCCGGGGATTGTCCGGCAGCTCTGACATGCCGGTGCCTAATTTCACTGTGATCCGCGGGTCGCTGGTCGTCGAAGTGTCCGTGGCGTGCACTGGAAAACCCCACTTCACACACAAAACTTCCACAAAGTCTGGAAATCCACGCATCCACTCTTCCTTCGAGGAGCAACTGTTGAGCTTGTCGTGCCAATTATCTCCGAAAACGGTGACGAATGGATACTCCCCATGAGCTGCTGGACTGCCACTCCAAGCCCGGATGAGTCCTGGCCGTCGGCGCTTCCGTTCCGAAGCCAATGCCCGGATCCTGCGCCGCCGCTCTGCTTTCGGGAATTCACGAGCCAGCCTCAACGGAGAAACCCCCGAGTCTAACTGAAAGACACGAGTCCTCCAAGCAGCCGCGCGCGAATTCTTCAGAACACGGATGTAAAACATCTGAATTCGGACTGCCGGCGCCTTTTGGACATGACAGCAGCGGCGCGAGCGTTGCATTGGTGAAGCCCTTCATCTGGCCGGCGGCGGAAACGAAACACACGGCGTAACGTGCGAAACTCCCTAGTTCAGATGTTTAGCAAAATCTGCGCGGTGACGTACCAGTTCTCAAAATTATATTCAGTGATTTTCGAACAACATGTCGACCGCGTCCTGAGACGGCGGCTGAAAAGTAAGCGAACGTTGCTAATGATGACGGGGTGCTTGAAGAAATGGCCTTCCGCGCGAGATAGATTATGCCATGCGCTCGGAGAAGTGCTCCCATCTGAGCATAAGTTCTCCTCCAGCACGAACAACGAACCAGTTTGACTGTACATCAAATTCTCGCCTTGTTGGATGGTCAAAAAGAACGTTAGCCTCAATCAAGCCCAGGCGGACCAGACAATATATTTTCCAATAGAGGCGGCTTCCAAAAGAAGTGCTGCAATCCATGGGATTCCCGAAATCTCGAAAATGCCACGTGCAGGTCGGTAGTCATCCTCTGAGCCATGTCGACGCCCCTGGCAAAAATCACCAAGCTGTCTGCCCAGATGGCGTAACAGATCAATCCTGGGGCGTCGCCGTCGTCGTCCGGCAGCGGGAACCCGCGCCCATCCACTTCCCACCTGTGGAGAACAGGACCCAACAAAACGTCTACTAGCATGCGACATTCGTCGGGGGTCTCCACTCCCCGTTGCTTCCCTCACTTCGTGCGAGCGAATGCGTCCGACACTCCAGCCAAAAGTAAGACAATTTGGCCCGACATGTCCATCACCTTCCTTATGTGGAGACCCACCATGCGTGCAGGATGCCTGGCGACAGCGTGGAATCAGCAATCAACTCGCGAGGTATGCTATCGAAAACAATCTTTACATCCTGCGCGGCAGTAGTGAAACTGCAGATGGGATGCCAGCAGCTCCAACCGACTGGCCACTCGTAAATCCGCCCTTGCCTGAACAGTGTCCCAGAATTCAAATTGCCCTGTGAGCTTTCCGTTCATTTTGTCGCAGAGCGCCGTGCTCTGCAATCTGGCCAAGAGGAAGCATTGGGCGCGTCCTGTCGCCCCGGGGTCGCGCCTCAGACAGCCATTCCTGCATGCCGTGCGTCGCCCTCCCTTGGGTGGTCAATGCCACGGGCAAGAAATCACTGTTGCCCGCCGCTTTCCGTAAACGCCCAGCCTCTTCTTCGGATGAGCTCTGTTAGCGTAACTTGTGCACCAAGAACCACAACACCTTCATCAACGGCAGCCTATGGTCTTGAGTTCCTGCGAATCGAAGCTCATGCCGGGTGGCTTGAATGCTTAATCGCCCTGATCGCCTTGATGCCGAATCGGTGCCACCTTTATCCTTCGCATAACAATTTTCAGCCAAATTGCGCAACTGTTGTTCGAACCGGTCGAGGCCCAAACCGTTCAATTCATGAAGAGCCCGAGTCTGGAAGTCATTGAAGGTCTCCGGGTCCAGCAACAGTCTCTTTGGTAAATGCAGTGGTTGCGCTGTGGACCTGTCTGTATCCCGCTGGGCGTCGTCGCATCGAAAATCGACTCGGATAGGCCAGTGGTCAATCCGGACATGCAGAACTGGCTCACCACATTTATCCAGGAAGATGATCGGCCGGTTAATTTGGTGGAGAAATTGCGAAGCTCCAGTGTAATCAATTTGTGACCTGGAAGCCTCCCGGCGCTTCATCCCACAAGTCCAAAGTTGTGATCTCGAAGCGTTCTTCCCGAACGTGGTCACTGCCAGCTCACGACGCGCTCCTGCATAGACGGGGTATGGGAGCGGAGCGGGGCCAGCACGGCCTCCCCGGTGATGCCCTCAAGCTGGCTCGGAAGCGCCACATTCGCATCAATGCCAACAACAATCGCAATGATATAACCAAATCTTGTTTGACAGAGTTTCCAATATTGGATTTGTGCTTCTCTTGTTTCGTCTATGGTTTTCGTGTCTATGTTGCTCTAATCGTCGTGGATAAAATGAACACTAAGTTATAAAGTAAATATTGTAAGGCCCAATTCAACAACCAAGCCACCCCAATACTGGCCGAACTTCGCATCCCGTACTCTCGGATTCAGGGCCGCTCGTACCAGAAACCCACCATCGAATCCATCCCTGTTTGCGAGTTCGTCCGTTTTGGTGCGGCTCGAGTGCACGATGCTTCTTCTTCTTGAGGTACTTGCCAGCAGTCCACCGGGGGATCTCCTGAAGGCAGATGATGGCACTCTCCATGCCTGAACGTCGGGAACTGCGAACAATGCGGACTGCTTCGCAATGACGTTTCCGATGTAAATTGAAAGATGCCACCGTGTACTCCCCCCTCGAATTAAGCGGCGGCGGGCACCCCTACTTCCGGCTCCTCCTGAATCGTCTGGCCGCTTCGTTCGCTTTCTCAGGAGATGCTATTCCAACCAAGGTAAGTCCTTCTGGGCTCCACTCCAACTCAGACCCCTCCGTTACGTAGCAGAGCTCCATGGCCACCTTGACCGAGTCGTTCCCGGGGGTGTGAACGAATACCTTGAAGTCTGGTATCCAACATCCTCTCGGCTCCAGCGCCGAGTTGACCTGATCAGTGGTCCAGTCCGACAACTGACCCATGGCTCCGAGGTACTTCTGAAATTGTGGGTGAAACTGCGCCCGTGCCGAGAGCACCCCTTCTCCATTCTCCTTCCTCCCTCATCCTCCTCCTCCTCCTCCTCCTCCTCCTCTCATTCTACCCTGCCACAGAAAAGTAAGTCTAAGGCTCGGAAGGATGGGTACTGGCACTGGAGAACGCGTAAGGAGGGGGGTGCATCCCTGTCTAATCTCTGCGTGGTTGAGCAGGACCAAGATCTCCCCTGACAGGAGGGGCGCGACAATAATACCTATACGACCACCCTGCGGGTGATAAGGAGGTTTGGGGGGGAGGGGGCCAGCAATGGGAACAGTGGTGATCCCACTCGATGGATCTCATTATTGATCCCACTCGATCGATCTCACTATCGATCTCATGATCGATCTCAATATCGATATCACGATCGATCTCACTATAGATCTCACTATCGATCTCTCACTATAGATCTCACTATCGATCTCACTAAATATCGGTCTCATTATCGATCTCACTATCGATCTCACTGTCGATCTCACCACGGGACACCACGGGACAACGACGGGACACCGGCGGGACACCAGCGGGACACCAGCGGGACACCGGCGGGACACCGCGCGCCACCAGTTGCCGGGTGGAGAACCTTTTGGTCCGGCCGCGGCCCAGCCACGACGGGACACCGGCGGGACACCAGGGGAACACCAGGGGGACACCAGCGGGACAACGCGCGCCACTGGTTGCCGGGTGGAGAACCTTTTGGTCCAGCCGCGGCCCAGCCACAGGAGACTTTCCTCTCCCCCGCCCACGCAGCTTCGCCTCGCCCGCACACACGGCACGAACACGAAACCGAAATCGATTTCCTGGTAGGGTGGCTTTCCGTTCCACTTCGATCTCACCCCCCATCCTCCGATTTACACACCAGGTGCTGCTGGTCGGGGCGATGCTTCCCACTGCGGGTTTCAAGAAACATGTTTTAAAGTCAGCTGTTTGGAAAGCGATCCACAATATCCTTCTGTAGCAGCCCTGTGAACTAACTGGTCCAAGTGACGTGGCTGGGAAGCAGACGCGGCGACATCCTGCACAATAAGTTCAACCCTTCCCGAGCACACCGCGCACGCACTCCTTGCCTGTCATAGAACATGTAAAACCTGTTGGGAAGGGACCCGGAGACCTGCCAAGGGAGGTCGAGTCTGGCCAGTGTGAAAGCGGCAGGGGGCCAGAAAACAACGAGGCGGCAGAGCACGCCCAGCGGACGCCTCGAGGAAGATGAGGCGACGGGAAGATGTGGCGGCAAGGCGGAGGAGAACAACGACAACCTGCTCTGACGGGGCCCGTGGCTCCCTGCCTCCATCTCCCCCTTCCACTCCTGTTCCTTATGAACAGCTCCTCGCTGTCGCACCCAGAGGCCAATCGGAAAGGCGGGCTGGGCGTTTCGCCTGAGACCACCTGACCATTTATGAGCCTGAAAGTTGAACAACTGGCAGAAGATTCGAAGATGGAGGGCGGGTGGTTTTCAAAATGTGGCTCTCGCCTTAGCGCTGCGAACCTTCGCTTTAAACAATTACAGGCAAAAGTTTCACGGATTGAGGGCGGGTGCTTTTCAAAATGAGGCTTTCGCCTTAGCGCCGCGCCCACTCGTGTTAAACATTTGCAAGAATTGAATCGATTGAGGGCGGATGGTTTTCAAACTGTAGCTCTCCCTTGGCGCCGCGCGCATTTGTTTATAAACAGTGCAAGAGTTTCACGGATTGAGGGCGGGTGCTTTCCAACATGTGGCTCTCGCCTTAGCGTCGCGCACATTCGTGCTAAACATTTGCAAGAATTCCCTTGGTTCTCATGGTTAACGTACCAAGAGCGGCGTTCTGACACGATTTAGGATCGCCAAGACGCAACAATCAGGCCAACCCGTGGCGTTGAAATCATACGGGAGCCGTGATGATGCACCTCTCTTCTTCCCGGCAAATCTGGGCTCTGAAACAGGATTCTCGCACGGCTGTCCCCCAACGGGGCAATTCCTTCAGTGGACATGCATCCTTGTATGGGGCCTGGGAAGAGAGTTGGGGAGGGTGTATTCCAGCATCGTTGATGAGCCTTGGGTTTGCACTGGCCCTCCTCCTTCCCCTCCTCCCGCCCCCTTCTCGCAGAGGGCATCCTGCAACCCCCTGGGCCAGTGGGGGATCCACCTCCCGGCCATGCCTGGGGGTCAGGGCCGCCCTCGTCCCATCACCTGCCACTCCGGCACCGCAGCCCGCCAAGGGGAGTTTCGCCTCCACGCTGGTCCGTGGGGCATCGGCACTGGCGTTAGGTCGGGCCTGTCCCCCTGCAGGCGGCTTTGGGGCGAAGAAGTAAACATATTCAAAATACCCCACAAATGCACCCAAAATACTAAAAAACAACGTCCTCTGACTATATATATGTATGTATATATATACAAAAAGAAAAACTAGTTTTGAATATTCCTCCTGTAGAGGGACGTGCCCCACTTAACGCTGGCACCGAGCAGGGTGGGCGCTGGAACCAGCTGGGCCGCCTGCTGCGGTGCGCTTCGCCTCGCCGTCTCCGCGTGTGGCCGGAGAGGAGCTTCGGATCTGCGCGAGGGCCTTCGGCTTGCTTTTTCCCGAGGCCCCACAGCCCGCGGGAGGAGAAGCAGAAGGCAAATACTGGGGGGAAAACAGACCTATCTCGCGTTTGACCGCCCTCGCTTCCAAGAGATGCCAAACGATGCCAAACTACGGCCTGTACTGGTCAGGCCGCTTGACGAGGAGGCGCGTGGTATGACTTGCTTTTGCCTGGAAGCGAAAGCGGGGTAGGTAATTCACGCTCTGAAGTACGTTCATAAACCAATCCTCGTCCTCCTTCCCCTCGTCCTTCTCACCCTTCTACTCCCGCTGCGGCCGTAGGTGTCTGGCGTGTCGTTGTCCTCGTCCTCGGCGCCGGCGACGGGGACGACGACAACGAAGCACGGCGGTAGAGCCCCCCGGGATTCCCTGGGGCGTGCCCTAATTACCAGAGAGCCTGGCTGCGCACGGAAGGGTGGGCGGCGTCGGGCGCCGCTCTCGTCGTTGTGGCCGTCGCCGTCGCCGCCGTCGCCGCCGCCGTTTGCCGCCACCGCCGTTGTCGCCGTCGCCGACGCCGTCCTCGCCGTCGCCGCCGTCGTCTGTCGCCGCCGCCGTGGCCGCCCTCGCCGCTGCCGCCGTGGCCGTGGCGGCGGTGCTGGTCGCCGTCGTCGCCGTCGGGGGCGGGGCTTGCCCCAGGGGGCCGCTGCGCGGGGCGCCCGAGACGGACCTTCTCCAGCTCGCGTGCAGCGGATCGACTCGACCCCTGGGTCTGGGACGGGCCTCTGGGGGCCGAACCCAAGGACTTGCCATCGCTCGGACGTTTATTTCGGGGATGGACAGACCCCCCTTTAGTAAAACGTGGTTTAGTGAAAACGACCTGAGGCCCAAAATTGGCGGGCGCAATTCTGGAAAATAACGGCCACGGCGCCATCTTGAGAACCGAAAACGGACAATTCACTAATCGACGTGTCACTGTTGGGGGTTCTGTCCACCCCCGACCATTCCCCGTATGTGCTTCGGCTTTTGCGCGCTTATCTATCACCGGACGGATCGAGATGCTCCTCGATGGTCCTCACCGGGAAGGAGCTCAGTGGGCCCCGGAAACGACAAGGCCGTTTTTGTTACCAATTCCGTTTTGCCGTTTTTTGGCCGGTTCCGACGCCGTTTTTTGACCGGTTCCGCCGCCGTTTTTTTACCGGTTCCACCGCCGTTTTTTTCACCGGTTCCGGCTCCAGTTGCAATCCTGGAGCTGTTTTTTTTACCGTTTCCGGTCGCCGTTTTTTTGCCGTGTCCATTTTCAAGGGGCACTTTTTTGGAAACGGTGACAAAACGGCCCCGCCGGGCCAATAGGGCCAGGAGTGCACACGTCCGAGCAATACCGAGAGGAAGGGCAACTGCCCTCCAGGCCACCCAGCTCGCGCCCTCGCGCCGTTCCCCCCCCCCCTTGGGTGAAGTGCGGCTGACGACTGGCCTGGGCTGCGGCGCGCGAGGCGCGGTCACCTTCGCGCCCCCGTGGGTGACCCAGGCTTTCCCATCGAGCACCCGTGTCACACCGGAGCTGATACGCATCAGTTTGTTGTGTGTTGAACGTTGCACTGCATTCAATGGCTGCCTGCGGCGCTCGGCAACTTAGCTTGCCACTGACCCTGACAGTGGAGCCGTAGGCGCGGGGCCTGCCATACAGTGTGGGCTTCTGGACAAAGACACTGGCCTTCAACAACAACAACAACAACAACAACAACAACAACAACAACAACAACAACAACAACAACAACAACAACAACAACAACAACAACAACAACAACAACAACAACAACAACAACAACAACAACACAACAGTGTGTACAAGCAAACAAGACTCACGATCGTCCGCAGACAACGGTGCCGACCAGCTGCGTCCGGCAGGCTTGAAGCGGCGCGAAGGCCGACCTGTAACAGGCGAGACCCCACGCGAAGAGCATCCTCGAAACTCGCCCTCCCCTGGGGGTCGTGCCGATCCCATCGCGAACAACATCCTCGAACTTCGCCCTCGCCCGGGGGAGACGTGCTGATCCAGGTCAGCGCCAGACCCGTGATCCGCATCCGGCGAGCTCGCCGCCGGTCAGGCCCCAACCACGACGGACGGCTCGCCAACCCGGGCCCGCGGAGGGCGGGGAGGAGGAGGAGGAGGAGGAGGAGGAGGAGGAGGAGGAGGAGGAGGAGGAGGAGGAGGATGGGGAGGA